AGATAAGGAATTTATCCAAAAAAAAAGGAAAAAAGGTACTGGTGATACATCATTGTAGCTCAGACATTCTGGAATAGGTCTTAGCAGGGTGGAACTGGCACCATTCTACAATCAGAATAAAACTCCAATTATCTACAAGTGTACAACCTCAAAATGGCTTGTGTCACCATGCCCCGTGCTTTCTGGGGATCCACCTGTCTGCATACTTAGGGTTACATATGACAAGGCAAGGTTCCTATTTGCCTCAAAAGAAAGGTATTGGTATGATCACACTACCTTAGATAGTCATATAATTCATACAAATAAAGTAAATATTCAGGCAAATAAAAATGCACTTCATCAACCCTAGTGAGTGGAAGAGTAACCGGTTACAACTTCCTGCAAGTTACCCTCATAAGGAATAAGGAAGTCACAGATCGAAACTGGTAATCTGTGCTCACAGCCTATAACTCACCATATTTATTTTTTTGAGGCAATTGCCATCAGGGTCACTGATCTGATGTCAACAAAAGAAAAAGGGCATCATAAACAAATTGGGGCCAAGAAGGTGAGTACGTAGGGTTTTTCAGAAATGGCACGGAGAGCTTTGGAGTCAGACTCACCTGGGTCCAAGCCTCAACTTGACAACTTCTGATCTGTATGACTTACACAAGTGGTTAAGCAACCTCTCTCAGTCTCACTTTCCTCAGGGTAAAAAGAAGATAACAATACCTGTATCATTAGACTGTGACGAAGGTAACAAGCTAAAATGTTTAGCACTCGCTCTCTAGAATTCCTATTCAAAAGACAAAATTCTACTTAAATGTACAATTCACTTTTCATTTTTCATTCTCTCTCTCTCTCCTAAGCATTACCATGAAATATGTTTCTGGAGCAGAATTTGAGCTTATGAATAACTGAATCTTACCTTTCTCTAAGGCGTTTTGCAAGCTATGCTCCTTCTGAATGCTACTTAACATGACATTTTCCCCCACTGTACTGAAAAACCTCAGGTAATAGTCCAACAAGCAAATGAAGACTGTTTCGGAAAATGGGTTTAAAGAAAAGTAGGGGAGGTGCCTACCCAAAGATATTACAAGAGAAGTACAGGCATCCATCAGCCACTCAATTCTGTTAGCTTGTTAGGCCAGAACTAGATAATTCTTTTGCTGAAATTAGAGGTGATTTTTAAAAAATCTTAGGCAGAAAGAGGGAGACCATCTCATGTACAAGTAAAAATCAGTAACTAACAGCATGCTCAAGTTTCAAAAATTAGTCACTGGTTACCATGGTGATGCAAATATTACCTAACAACTCACTGGACTGTAAGAAACCAAGATGATGTTGAATACGTTATTTTTAAAATGGAAAAAAAAGCCTCTATTTTTAGAAATACCTGCAAGAAACTAGATGGACCTAAGCAGCAGACTGAAGGAAGACCCAGAATGAACCTGTGGAGATAAAAGTCACAATCACCTCTTGCCCTCTGTGTGCTGAGTTCTGTGACACACACATACTTGCAGCTGTACCCAGTGACAGCTGCAGGAGGAAGAGGAAGAGTGATGACATTTTATTTACAAACAAAGGGTTATGATTGGGAAGATGAGACTTCTCACTCCCTAAACTCTTAATAAAAGAATAATCTCTGCTACCGCCCACTGAAGACCAAAGACCAGATGACAGACATAAGGTGGACAGTCTCTTTAAAACTCAGCATTAAGAATTTCCTCAGGACAAACAAGATTCCCAGAAAATAACTAAAGATGCCCCATAAAATAATAACTTTCCCTTGCTCTCAATAGCTTGAATTTTCTGAATATATATGAATTTTAATTAGGGAAATAAAGCATAAATGTTATATGATGTTATTAATTTTTAAATTATCCCAAGAAAAGGGGCTGCATAAACACATCTCTAAGTCAAACTGTGTACAACTTCTGAGCACAGGGCACAGTACCCTATTCACAGGGGTTCCAGCTGTTAGTAAAGAGGCTCCAGAGCTTCTTTGAGTGGTCCTTGGGTATCCAGCATCAGAATGCCCTGGAGGGCTCCTTTTTTTTCTTTTTCTTTTTTTGAGTTGGAGTCTCACTTTGTCGCCCAGACTGGAGTGCGGTGGCCGCTCCCGGC